AAAAAAAAAAAAAAAAAAAAAAAAAGAAACAGAAGAAAACTAAATATCTGTAGAGTAAGTGGATAAGGAGAAGGTGGTGTGTAACACACTGGAATATCATTCAGACCCTAAGAAGCAGGGGCCCGGGATGTAGCTCAGTGACACTGCACCTGCCTGACAAGCAGCACGAGGTCCTGTTCGGTCCTGTTTGGTCCTGATTGCCATCTCCAGTGCCCAAACAAAAGAAGGAGGAGAGGGAGGGGAGCGGTGGGGGAGGGAGGAAATCCTGTCATTTGCTATTTCTTGAGGCCATTACGCTAAGTGAAACAAGTCTGTCAAAAAAGAGGAAAAATGCACACTTTTCCATACATGCAGCACCTAAAGCCAACAGACTCCTGAAACACAAAGCAGAATGGCAGTTGAAGAGGCGGAAGGGCTGGGGAGTTTCTTCATAATAAGGACAGACTGTGGGTTTGGAAAGGTGAAAGCGCTGGGGCTGGGTGGTGTTGACAATGACACAGCAAGGTGAAAGTGCCTGCTGTCAGGGAGCTGCACACGACAGGGGGGTCTCTGGGGCAGTGAGGGCCACCTCGAGACCTGGGGACTGAGGGGGAAGGAATCCTTGCTTAGTGCTGCCCCTCTGTCCCTCAAGGCAACACCCTACCCCGTACCAGCCAGAGGCTCGGCCCCCGTGGAGAACCCCCCTTGCATACTGTGTGGGGCGTGTTCCGAGCCACTCAGCCAGGCAGCCAGGTATGAAGAAAGATGCATTCACCATCCACAGGGTCTGGTGGGCACAGGACACACTGCCTCACACAGCAACAGAACCACCCTAAGGGTGGCAGCCAGGGCTGGAGTCACCAACTGACCGGGTTTGCAATAACCCTCAGAGCTCTCTTCTGCAAAGGTGAAGGGACCAGAGGTGACACCTGGAAACGTGACCACCTGCTAGCACAGAAGGGGACCCACCAGAACTTGACGACTGACACCTTGGCCCATGCTTCCTGCCTCCAGGATGTGAGAACTTAAATTCAACAAAAAAACAAATAAACTAAGACGGTGTGTTCTGTTGTGTATATTCTATACACACGTATACACACACACACACACACACACACAGACACACACGAGCTCCCTGGACACCATCCCAGGATCCTAAATTCTGAAATCTGCATGTTGAGCATGTGATTGAGGTTATTTTTAGAAGGGTGACAAGAAATTTGGACAACAAGAGCATAAAGGTTACTCACAATGTGAGAAACCTCATAGATGGAACAAGGGCGCCTGAGACAACTTCCTGTGCCCTGCAGGGCACGTGTTTTCCATTGGGTTCCTTACTGTGGGTGGACCTCTGGGGGTAAAGTGCTATGTGCAGCTTTGGGGACAGACAATCTGGCTCTGATCATGGGGACGCTCAGGAAGGAGTGTGGAGCTGAGGGTCTCAGGGGTCCTGGTACCTTCCGGCAGCTCAGCCGCTCATTTTCTCCTCTCTGGAGGGGGTGGGGTAGCCCAGCCCACCAGATGTGGAGGAGATGATGAGATCAAAGGCATGCATGAGCTTTTCATGTTTTTAATCTAGTACAGCATTGAGTGTTGACTTCACCAGTGAGTGCTTGAACTGAGCTTTGCATCAAGGGCCAGGACAGGAGTTCTCAGGCCAGAGACACATTAACATCTCCCATCCGAAGAGGTCCGTGTTGGCCTTGTCCCTTGCAAAACTCTGTCCTGCAGTCAGTCAAGGAGCAGCAGCAGTCTTTCCTCTGGCAGCACCCTGCTCTGAGCTCTGAATCCTGACGGGTAGGACCAGAAAGGCTTCCTGGAAAAGTGTGAGCTGGACCTCTGATAGACACATGGGATGGAGGGATCTTCATGGCCTAGGTAACAGACACTCAGGATAGGAAGTCCAGAGGTAAAAAGGGATGGCTGACCCCTTTCTCATTGCCCCTTCCCCTGTTCTCTTGAGAGCACTAACTTCTGCTAGCTCTCGTCTGTACTCCCAGGCACACGGTGGGTGTGAGTGTGTACACGTGTGCAGGTGTTTCTGTGTTTGTGTCTGTGTCTCGTGTAAACCCAGGACTGAGCCCAGGGAGTGCTGAACTATCCCTCCAACCTTTTTCATTTTGAGTCGGGGTCTCGCTGTGTTGCCCAAGCTGGCCTTGAATCTGGGATCCTCTTGGCTCTGTCTCCGAACTAACTGGGCTTCACAGAGTGCACCACCCAGCCCAGCTACCACAGGTGACTTTTACAGTGGCTGGTATGGTTTGAACATGCATGCAAAAGCCCAGGTGCTGGAAATGTAACCCCAGGCTCTCACACGAGTGACACTGGAGGTGGGCCCTCTGGGACATCGTGAGGTAGGGCCCCAAGATGGCTAAGTGGCTTTATGAGACGAGGAAGAGAAAACGGCGCGATGGTGCATACCCGTGATCCCAGCCACTGCGGAGGGAGCTACTGAAGCAGGAGACGAAAAGTTTTAGGCCAGTGTTGGCAACTTGTGAGAATCTATCTCAAAACGAAAAGAGCTTGGGCCCTGGGTTTAGCTGAAGAGACTAAGAGGTGGGGAGGAAAGGGGCAGGAGGAGGAGGGCGGGAAGGGAGAGACTTGAGCCGACCTGTTTGCACTGTCTTGCCGCTCACCACGTTACCATCACAAAGGCTCTCACCCAGTCCCGCCACCGCCCTACTGAGCCTGTCACTACCACAAACTGAGTAGAATCTTTATAAATCACTAGTTTGTGGCTTTCTTTACAGAAACAGCAAGGGACAGAGATATTTTCCATAAAGGGTCTGGTCTGGTTAGTCAGGGAACACAAGAAGGAGGGAATGGGCGCCATTCCTGTCCTGTGAGCCTCCCTGAGCACAGAAAGTCCCCTCCGCAGGTGTAGCACCAGGGATAAAAATTCTATCTAGGAAAAAAACAGAAGGTGAATTTTCACAATGGAGCTTTCTTTCTTTGCTTTAAAAAAGTTTGTTATTTGTTCCTGTTACAGTAAATTCTGAACAGCTTGACTTTTTTGGATTAAACTTTTGGTTTTGAGATCATTGTAGATTCCCACATAGTTGTAAGAAATAACACCAAGAGGTCCCTGTGCTGGGCTTGATGTTAATCCTGTGGTAAGTGCCCCCTGCAGCAGGTGCCCCAGCCTGGCTAAAGCTGCATCTGGGTGGAGGGGGTGGGTGCGGTGAGGGGAAGGAGGAACAGAGTATTTTTGATATTCTCGTGGTTTCTGGGAAATCAAAATTGGCGTGTGGCCCTGGCACCGTCCCAGAGGGCTGATTCTTTGCAGTGACAGCCACTCCTCCTCAGAGGCACCACCCTCCTTGGATAGGGACCAGGCTTTCTCTCAGGAGCCCCAACCGTGGCCTCTGTGAGTCCAGAGGCCAAGTCAGATGGTGAGAGGACACTGGGCCCACCCAACCCTGACCCTGTCTTCCTGTCCAGGCTCATGGGTCCTGGCGAGTCCTGCTCCTCAGGCTTCTGGAGCCTGGGAGTGTTACTGGATCAGCAGCAAAACGTGGCTCTTTGCAAAGGGCTTCACAAACAATTGCAGATTCTCGGGTCTGTAGGTACCACAGTCCTTCCACCTTCTGCCTTATCTTGCCTGGCAGGAAGGGCTGTCCTGCCTGGTGTGAGGCAGGTGGCTGGAAAGGGCTCCATCTTCCTGCACCTAGGCACAGCTGACAGGGGTGGTGTGGACTGAAGATGTGAACTATCAGCTTGAATCTCTCTAGAGTTGTTCATGAGGCCGCCATGTTTCCTCCCTGTGGACAGCTCTGGCCTAAGCAGTCACTTCTGGGACTAATGTCATTTGTATTAATGTGGCTTGATATTAAAAAAGTATGATGAATGTTTAATTTAAAAATTGATTACATACTAGACCCATGGCCATTAATCTTCCTCAGAATATCCACCTGACTTTGAACTCACTTATCCCAGTGTTGTTGCCACTGTCTGAAGCAGTCTGGAAGCCCTCTTTCATGTCTTCAGTTGTGGCTGCTAGATGTTCTGAATTCATTCAACATATTTCTCTTTCGTGGTCATTTTGACTTTGGGAAAGAGCCAGAAGTTGCACGGTGCCAGATCCAGTGAGTAAGGTGGATGAGGACTCACTGCAATGGGTTTGTCGTTTGTTTGTGTGGGTTTTTTTTTTTTTCAGTTTTTTTGAGACAGGATCTCACTATATACCCAGGCTGACCTCAAACTTGATGTGATCCTCCTGCCTCAGCCTCCCAAGTGTTAGGATTACAGGAGGGCAACATCACACCTGGCTGCAATGTTTTGGTGAGAGAAACTGCTATAAACATTTCAAAAGTAGATTATCAACAAATACAGTGAATGTTTAAATTAATAAATATATTATAGTAAGCACATTACTATTAATCCCCCTCAAAATAGTTCCCCTTGCTTTGAACACTTCTTATCCCACCAGTCTTGCGAATGTATCTTTGGCTATAATAAGTTTTAAAGGAATAAATATTCACCGTATATTCCAGTCACCCTTTTGCACAATAATACTGGCATTAAACGTGGTGTGTTTGCTACATATATTGCCGGATTTCATCATCTATGTGATACTTAAAGTACACAACAGGGAGAAAGAATAGAACCCAACCAGTAATAAACACCCTGTCAGGACTCTGATGCTGGGAAATGGAAAGCTGTGCACGCTTGTGAGGTTCAACGCACGAGTTCCTATGCTGGTAACAGCTACCATCTCCTCAGTGATCTGGGCAGAATATTAATGTTTGATGAAAGCTATCTTGTGTAACCCTCACATAGCCTGTGATGCATGCTGTTATCATCTGGGTTTTACTGTTGGACAGCAGGATGCATTGTTCAAGGTCTGCACAGCTGGAGGGTGAGGCTGACTTTGGACCCGTTATCTGTCTAGAGCTGGAGCCGGAGCTCGACTCTGTATCTGTTTGTACTGTGCATAGCTATCAGTCTTTAGACTCCCTCAGAATACTGTGAGGTTTTTAAATTTAAAAAAAGGAAAGGAAAACAAAAACAACCCATAGCGCCACAAAGCCAGCATTTCTGCCACGGCACCATCACTGGTAAGGCAGCTATTTCGAAGGTGGTACTTACGCCCTAGAACAATCCCTCCCTGGGACAGAAGACAGAAGAAACAAGGCGGTGGCACCTCCGAGGTTAGGCACAACAAGACTGGCTTCTCGGTGCTTTCCTTTGCTCTCCCTTGGTGCCCACGTGGAGTGAGGCAGCTCCGAAGTCCGCGTGGCAGCAACGGCGGCACATCCACGGAAGAGGTCTGTCCCTGTGCAGCCCAAGGGGACTGAGGACTGGCTGAGCGAGCCAGATCCTGAGCCACTGGGGGATCTGCACTCGGGTCCTAATAACAAATGTTTGTTATTTTCAATCATGAGTTTCAGGGTAATTTGTTGCGCAGCAGTAAAACGAATCCATCAACTTATTAAAATAAAACAAATTTGGGATGTATTTGTGCTACTTAGTAATAAGAAAGTATGTTTAAAATATAGGAAAGTTAAAGTTCAAGTACACACACACACACACACACAAATTTGTTGTTTGTGTTTTTAAGACAGGATTTCGCCTTGTAATTCAGACTGCCTTCAAACTCACTGTAACCAGCTTCAAGTGTCTATTTTAAGATACATTGGCCTGAAAGTTATGCAAATTGTTCCATAACTTGCATAAGAACATTGAAAAGCAGGAAGAATGTTGCTAACTGTAATAACCACATTTCCTAGTTTCCCAATATCATGGTTTGGTAACTGGGGTCTGGTGACCTTAGAGAGATGCCTCTCCCTGGGCTGCTATATCTGGACATAAAGAATGACTCGCTTGGGAGGTGACTTTCAGATGCAAACCAGCTAATCCAAGCACAGACCCCAAACACCTCCTTGGTTTGTTCTCCCACCTGGGAGGCCGTGAACCTGCCCTTCACCTCAGAGCCTGCTGAAATTAGCTCAAGGAGCCAATCCTGACCTACTCACGTGCATCCTCTGGTTTCTCCCATGAAACAACAAGGGCTCTCATCCACATCTATTTTCTCTGCTTTCTGACACCCTCTGATCCTCTCTCCAACACAGCCTACACTATGCCATGTGAGTCCCCTTCTTTTAGGATCCTGGGTGGAACCAACTGTCTCACCCCTGGCTACTGTCTGCTCTGTGGGCCTTGCTGTGCCTGAATACTACCAAAGACTACATTAGAAGACAGCAAGGAGGGCTGGCGATTTAGCTCAGTGGTGCCTCCACTTGCCTCGCAAGCGCAAGGTCCCGAGTTCAACCCTCAGTACCAAAAAAAAAAAAAAAAAAAAAAAAAAAAAAAGAA